TCTCTCTCTCTCTCTCTCTCTCTCTCTCTCTCTCTCTCTCTCTCTCATAAATATTTTTCTAAGTTTACTAAAAGAGAAAACACGTATATAAAAGTGCTACGTCATTTTATTTGTTAGATCTAGATCTAGAATACATATAACGAATTCAATTCCTCTTAACATACTTCTTGCAATATCGAGTGCAGCTTTAAATTGTATTGTTGTATGGTACATGCTTTTGAAAATCTATAAGCACGAGCTATAAGCATGAAAAAACGCAAAAATAAATAAAATATTAAAAAAAAAATGTTTAAAGGAGAGGAATATACCGGGATATCTCGACAACTTCTGGATAAAAAGAAAATATCAATTTATTATCAGGGCTCAGAAATTACCGTTACTAATACTCAAGGCGTGATCCATAAAGCCTGGCTCGCGAATAAAATACGAGATTACAGAGCAAACACGGTGGGAATAATGGCGAGCAGTAGTGCATCAAGCATACACAGCAAGCATATGACATTGCTTTTGATCCAAAGGTTTAAAATACGCAACGAGCGCATCGCAACACCCACGTTATTCCCGCTCAATCGAGCTGCGAGCAGAGGCCAGTATTTATGCTATTTGCCACTGTTACACCTCGCAGACAATGGTTATAAATTACGTCTCAAATTATAAATACGTTAACTTCCGAGCCCTATTTTACTATTCGACGTTACGAATTTATATGATGCAATACAAATCCTATTCTACTTCCTTCAACCTCCGTATTAGCTGTATTATTGCATGATGCATTAAACATGACGAATTCCTAGGATATTAGTTATCAAAAATATAATTAAACATTATCAATGCAATTTTTACCATGAAATAATCAAGGACCACATGCTTGTGAGATTCGTACTAAAGCAATAAACATACATTTCTCAATGTCTGTTTGCACAATGATCGCTAAAATCATCTACCATCAATATATAAAAATTATAAAAATATTAATACAAATAATTCATATTATATAGATTTCCACAACAAACGGATTCTGTAAAAAAAAAAAAAAGAAAAAAAACTTACCAGTCAAAAGAATCAAAAAGAAAAAAAAGTTTTTTGCTGTTAAAAAAAAGACTTAAAAAAGACAAGTTAGTGAAAGCTATTGCGAGAACTGAAGGAAGTCCATCACGTCAGAAACAAAGGTACTGCGACAAACATTACATGTATATGATTTTTCTTTAAGCATTAATGTTTTTCACCGAATATATGAAAAAAGTTTGAACTTTATGAAGTTATATCGATACAAAATAGATCAAGTTGCTTTAGCTAGACTCGGTTAGGTCAAAATGGAGCAATCCGATGCCAAAGGGTGGAAAGAGGAGAGTTTGTTTGACTGAGCTTGAAGACTCACCCTGCGGGCCAGAGGGGTTCGAGTTGGAGTTGGGCTGCGAGGAGTTGGGCTGAGGGGGCTGGGGTGGGGGCTGGGTCCCAGGAGGAGGCCCATTCTGTGGCATGTTCCAGGAGCTCCAGGAGCCCCCAGGCCCGCCCCCCGCAGCCCCGCCAGTACCCGCCGTGGGCCCGTAGCCCCCTGAAGCGGCCGCCGCCGGCCCACCTGCGATCATCAACCACACAAAACACGTGTCACCGACCGCCGTCACACCTCACCTTTTTTTCTTATCGCTCTCTTTATATAATTTACATTCTATTTTTCTTTTATCATTTGTCTCTCTTACTTGGCTTAAAAATATAATAAGGTGTCTCTAATTTCTCAACGCTACTCGAGAATGCGTCGCTCTTCTCTCGATGATTTAAACGTTCATGCTTGGTTCTCTTAATAAACGAAATAGAATAAGAAGAAAAAAAGAAGAGAAAAGAGATAAAGAAGATGATAGAGGATAGATGGTAATAGTGATCGGGTGCAAAAATTGCTAATACGAAGAATATATACAAAATCTGTGTGCGACTTTGTAACATGTATGAGATACTGATTATCACAAAATATATGCATATTGATGATTATATCATCAGCAATGTTAATTAGCTAACTAAGCGTATTATCATATCGTCATAACTTGTGCTTCAACTGATGCTTCGAGTTTGTGCATATTTACTGTGTTGTAAATAAATAAAGTGAGTATACTCTGTATTATGACGAATGTGGGTGAAGATTTGAACGAGTAAAATTCAATAATAAATGAGGAGGATCGCTTGCTTAAAGTTGAAGAGAATCAAGCATAAACTCCATAGATAAGATTATGAGGTCTAATATTCCGGATATGTTTACTTACAAAATACGTATTACGTCAATCCAGACCAATTGTTAAAAACTGATTAGCAATATTTGAAATACGTAGTCAATAAATTTGTACTGTGGTTACGCACATACATGCGTTACATCCTTTAGTTCTTCTAAAAATACGATGCAAACGTATCATTACAAATTATTACATAAGTTACATTGATATAATGTAAACCTGAAAAAGTTATACCTGAAAATCCCTAAAAAGAAGAAATTATTTTAAATTAAACATCTTTTGTGCTTAAAATTAATTTATGCTAAACATTTACAAAATCGCATACTCATTACATAATGTCAATAACTTTGACATACACGTAAGTCTGGACTGACATAATTACTTTTACCTTTTTACTTTCTTTATATCAGAGAATATCCTATTTTCTTTCTCTATATCATTAACCTCCAGGGGGCGTCACAATTATATTGCGATTTCTAGATTTCTCATGTTCTTATCTTTTTTTCTTTCTTCTTCTACCTCTCCAAGCAGGATGGAAGGGGAGGGGAGTAGGATCAAAAGTTATGTTAATAATTATAGTTATTATCATACGATCTGTGTACCACCTTATCGCTACTTGTAATATAAGTATCAATTAAATTGATATTTGATGCAAAATTAATAACTCGATTGGATTAGCAAAATCGATTCAAGCTAAAAACTTTTAGATGTCTTGTAGAACTTCAGCTGTGTGTACAAATCTTTTTGTAGAAAATTTTATTTCCCAAATATAAAGTTAAAATCGACCTTGTTTATCATGTACCACATATCATCAAAATAATAAGATATGCTAAGTTATCTAATATGTCAGTGACATTCCTATAATTACTGTATAATAAGATATTTCTTCAGATTTTATGTAGCTTTAAACGCGCGTCTGCAACCGCCAACTTTGACATAAAATATATTACTTTTAATTAAATGCTAGCATCTTAAACACTGTCAATATAGCAAACTTTTCAGTAGAAATCTTTCAGATCATCTTCGTTGTTTACCGACTAATAGTAAGCGCTTAATAATAAGAATGAGGGGTCTTTCCTTTTCTTTCTTTCTCTCGAGATTCTCATAATCTTTGTTCAAAATCATAGTAACTGTGTTCAAAATCATAGTTAACTGTGTGTTAAACGCGAAATTAAACGGAAGAGGATGTCTCGTGTGTATGTGTGTGTGTGTATGTGTGTATGGATGTTTGGAATTATTGATGAAACTCACCGTAGCTTCCATAGCCTTGAGTAGCCGCCGCAGGCTGAACGTTGTAGCTACTACCCCATTGATGCGGTGGAGGCGGAGGTATTTGTTGCTGCTGCGGAGGTCCTGGTGGTGCTCCCCAACCTTGAGTGTTATACTGAGTACTGTATCCAGCATATCCACCAGTTTGAGGGCTGGTTCCCCAACCTTGATATTGCTGCATCATATTTCCTGGCGGACCCATCGGACCTCCCATCATCGGTCCACCCATCTGGCCATTCGGTCCACCCATCGGACCCATGTTCCCCGCCATACCCATCGGTGGACCACCCTGTTGAGGCGGACCCCACTGACCTTGATGACTATCATTCATTTTGCTCGAGGAATCTCTCGGTTCTGCACGTTTAATCTCAACCTGGAAAGAGCAAATACCACAAACGTGTAGTTGTAAAAGATTTTTCTCTCTCATCATACAGAGAAAAAACTTTAGATTTACATCAAACGAATAAAACAAAATAAATAAAAAAAAAGTATAGAAACGTACGCTGCCACTTACAATTATCTTTACAAGTTATTGTATATTTTTTTAAGCTAACAAGTGGTTATTATGTTCTTTAAATTAACGCTCTATATTCACGCTTATATGTTGCGCCTTACACATAAAAATAATATTCTATTATTTCTAATTATAAAATAGAAAGTCATCATTTCGACACTGTGTTTATATCATACATTAAATATTTTTTAGAGTAGTGTTAAATGATAAATAAAAGATATTATTAAACATTTATATATTATACAAATGCATATATATACATATAAATGTTTAAAAATTGTTTTATTTATTAACTTGACACTGCTCGAATTATAAGATTAATTTACTTCTCTCCTTGTTAATACAATAAGGTATACATACACGCTATATAAATAATTTACGACTAGAATTCTCCTATATAGCAATATATTAACGATATATTTATGTATATATATATATTTATATATACTTATTTTCTATTCGCTGTAAGAAATTATGTTCTGATTGGTAACGTGGTTTAATCATGTATTGATTTGTTATACCTGTTTTCCATTCAGGTTGACAAAGTGCTCCGCAACGCATCTGTCCACTGCTTCTTCATCCTCAAAACTTAGGAAGCCAAATCCTGTCGTCCAAACGTGAGAAATATAATCAACAAAATGCTCGCCGAAATAATACGAGAAAACGCATTCCTTTACAATACAATGTGTAAAATATGCGAATATACACTCAAAAAAGACATACGGTTCCCATCGCGCTTCTGCTTCCTAATATGTGTGTATGTATGTGCGCACACGCGCGCTCACTCACTCACTCACTCACTCACTCACTCACTCACTCACTCACTCACTCACACACACACACACACACGCACACACACGCACGCACGCACGCACGCACGCATACACACACACACATTATATATATATACATATATATATACATATGTATATATAAATATATATATATGCATATATATATATATATATATACATATATATATATACATATATATATATATATATGTATATATACATATATATATATATATATAACTTATTAAATCATAAATTCTTTTATGTTACTTAATTAATAAAATAGCATAGACTATAAACGCTTTTTATAATTGCGCAATATAAATTTGTTAGTAGTAATCTATTATACTATTGTCTCAGTGTTTATCGCCCCTACATGTAATTAATTCATAAAATAAGCAGTTTATTACAACAAATAAGAATATCAACTTCACTTTGAATGTATACAGCAAACACACAGCAATAGCTATAAAATATGTCAAAATATATAACTGGAAAGTATACTTATATCTAGTTTGACCTGCCAATAAATATGTCAGTTATCTTATCTATAAGTATAATAATAATAATAATTAAATTTGGTTTCCGCGCGGGTTTGAGCCGCGTGAATTCTTCTTTGTCTGATTCCGACGTTTCGTGAACATTTCAGTTCGCTCAGAATCAGACAAAGAAGAATTCACGCGGCTCAAATCCGGAAGCCAAATCTAATATTCATGAATACCGCGAAAGCCTCAAATACCAATATAATAATAATAATAATTTTTAACCGAGAATTAGTAAGTATAGTACTAGTAAATTTAATTTAAACTACCCGTACTAGTAGTTTAATTCAATGTGTATAAATCTTGAATTAAAACATAAATATATTTAGTAGCTAACGAACTTAAGCTATGTATAACTTACGATAGCATAGTCTGGAAAAAGCGTTACACTTAATAAAAACTTAACGAAAAATTTATTAAACTATGTGTCTGTTTAATTTAACATGAAGTACCGCAAACGTGTGTGTAATATAATCGAAAAGGAGCAAGGATAAATGTGTGAGTGTATATATATTACAAAAATTAAATTAGAACCCGATAATGTAGTAATACATAAATACGCAAAATCGGATAAATTTTAATTTTAATTCAATCTTACAATATGTAATAAACTACTATATACATATATTAAAATATAAGAATTATTAAGTAAAGAAGCTACTAACTATAATTAAAATTTTGTATTAGCTATGATCAATAATAGAAATAAAGGGGCGCTAAAAACTAACACAGAAGCAAAGAGATTTTTATCAACAAATCTTTACGTAAAACAACAAATTACGTAAAAAAAAAAACAATCTTTACGTAAAGAAATTGTTGAAATATAATATCTTTTAATCAAGTGTGTTTACTACTTATTATATCTTTTATTAATTCTAATATCACTTTATTGCATTTTGGCAATTAGTGTGCTCAAAACGGAATCCTTCATCTAATGCTAGCTTTTGTAAAATTATATTTAGTATCGAATGAGAAATATTTCTATTAGTTCAAATTTTTTCTGACAATTTTTTTATTAATATGTGACTATTCTGTGTTTGCAGTAGTATTTTAGAACACTTTTATAAATTAATATTGCATAAATTTTAGTTAGGAAAATAACTCTGTATTTTCTTCGCAAGAAGTTTGTGTTTTATTCTCTAAAAATTTTGATCATAAACTTAATTTAGCCAGTATATTGTTTGCTAACAATATACTGGCAAAGATTATAAAGAGATAACTTATCCTAAAGTTATCTTTTAATATAATATTAATGGTTTTCACAACTTTTCCTTTAACATAAATATACATCACAACGCAGTTATATAGTGGACACAATATAAGAATTATAGAGAAAAGTGGATTAATATAAGAACTATAGAGAGAAAAGTGAATTAATGATTTTAACAATAAAAACCACGTGCAAATTAAAAATATTATAAAAAATATGAGAACCATTAAAAATAGTGCTAATAAATGAGTCATGATACAAAGGGCAGCTTGCACTCACCTCTTGATTTCTTTTTTTCCTGGTCATACATTATCACTACTTCCATAACTTTGCCAAAGCGAGTAAAGTAAGACCGCAAATCAGTCTCAGTCACATTGCTTGGCAAACCACCAAGAAAAACTTTTGGAAAACCACCACTACGCTTTGGTTTTTGAAGAGTACGTGGGTTACAAGGTTTCGGATCAATCTATAACATAAATCGTCAATAGATCATTACTTTAATTAATGTTTTTTTTTACAAACTTTATTTTTCTTATAGCCTTTGTGATTACATAACTATAAAATTTCGTTAAATATATTTTTGGGCAATTTACACATTATATAGACGTACCGTACGACCATCAAGTTGGTGAGGGCCATTTTGAAGAACCAAAGAAACATTTGCTGGGTCACTAAATGTCACAAATCCAAACCCACGACTGCGTCCAGACTCACTATTCTTCATAACCACACAATCTATTACTTCACCATATCGGCCAAAGTAACGCTGCAAATTTTCTTGGGTTGTTTCCCATGATAGTCCACCAACAAATAATTTTCTAGAACACAGTATGAAAAAAAATGTATTTAATGTTATTAATATGTTGAACATCACCATAACTTATACTCTGAATAAAGGAAGAAAATGAGTGATAAAATTTAAAGAAAATATAAAATATATATAAATTATGCACTGATATTAACATATCAGTTACGTTACACAATTCATGTATCATACAGAATACTCAAATTTATATCATTTTGTAACAAAAATAATAAAAGTAAATTTATTAAAAAATATAATTTTTTCTTATAAAAAAATAGAAACTTTATAAAAGAATTTGTTACATATTATCCAAAAATAAAGCACTCATATATGTAGTATATAAAATAATAAATGCTCTTACATGTGTATCTAAATAAATAGAAGACAATTTAACATTTCAATTAAAACACTTAGAAGACAATAAACAGATAGTTACAGTATGTGTGTGTGTATGTGTGTTTACTCATTTATTTATATACAGAATTTCTTTTAAAAATATAAACTCTAAATCTATTGCATGAATGTAGATAAATGTTTCAGCATACAAAGTAAATTGTGATTCAAATTCATTAATTTGTTTTTTTTTTTTTCAAAAATGTAATAACCTATATATAATGAAGTTGTATACAAATATAACATATATATATACAATGAATACAATATAAATTGAGGTTTAAAGATAATAATTAGTGAAAATTAGAATAATGCAATTTTGCATTGCGCATACATATTAGTAAAAATGTTATTCAGAATTTCAAATATCCAAATTTTAAAATAAAGAGTACTCTATCAAGTTCTCTCTCTCTCTCTCCCTCTCTCCCCCCCTTTCCCCCCTCCCTCCCCCCCTCTCTCTCTCTCTCTCTCTCTCTCT